TATGGTTTAACTTTTGACTATTCTTGTCAGTTAATTCAATTAATTAATTTATGAGCTTACTCTTTCTTGCACCTAGACAAATCTCTGAGTCCAAACCTTTGCTTACTCACTAAAACAAATAAATGTGGCTTTTTACCAATGCTCCACGATTGTTAAACTTTTACCAAGGCACTAACTACACTTGTTGCTTTTATCAAAGCGCTTTAAACAAAAGAAAATAAGGACAGATTTTAAATAACAATAATGAGTCAGAATGTTAATTATATATTATTTTTCTCTGCGAGGATCCGAAGTTATTCCTTTTCAAGAAAAGACCAGAAGTTATCCTTAATGAAATTTTCGTTGATCGTTACAACAATCAGGGTAATGATAAAGATGGTTTATCAATTGATATTATAAAAACTTCAATAATTTTTTTACAAAGTAATTTTACAATAATTATAAAAAGCTTTTGCGTTTTCATTATACACTAAATTAGTTGACCCTGAATCACCAAATTTCTGATTCATTTTGTTCAATTCGGACCTGAATAAATTGATTTGATATTTATTATTTAACTTAAAACAATGAATTTTGCAACTGTAAATTTCTTTTTTTGTTGTCGTTATTAATGTTATATTAATATTAATGTAACACAAATCCTTGTTATTCGTTTTATTATTACAGACAGAGACAGCAACGATCATTTATTAAGAAGGGCAAATATGGCAAACAACTATAATTTGTTGGCAAAAGGAGCTGATATTTAGTGCACGAATTGTATGGTCTTGGCGAAGAAGAAAGAACAATTCATGCGGATAATTGTTCATGACAAAACAAAAACAATTCGACGATCCAATATTTGGCATGACGAGTGCTGAAAGGCTTCCATGAAAGAATTACGTATTCTTGGTCATACTACATTTATTTTTGGACCATTTAAAAAATTTTGAAGTTGATGATTAGAAACAAATGGTTATATAATATCGCACAAACAATTTTGAAGCTAATGAAAGAAAAGTATTTTTCTACAGCTGGATTGAAGGTTTAAAATTTTTTTAACCATAATGATAAACAAACTTTTAAACAAAAACGTGACAGTGAGTTTCATAATATTATAACTCAATCATATATATATAATTCGTTCGGAGCATCAAAATTAGCACTGGATGCAAAGAATCTCAGCATCCCATCATGTATTCGTGATTAATGATGCAATCATTAATAAAATAGGCCATTTCATGGCAGATGGTGCATTGATTGAATAGCCTAATAAATTACAACAAAACATATAAATAGACCCGCTATCCAGAAAAAAACGGAGCATTAGTTTTGCTTTTTACGTTGCATTCGAATTCGAGGGTCGAAGAAAGTAGTGCCGAAATAGCCATCTACGTATTATTTGGCGAGGTATCTATACATTCATTCGGAGCATCAACATTATCCAGTAATATTATTATTATATCAATATTTTTATTTTATTCGTTGCGTTGAGCAAAAAATTTATTTATTTATTTAAAAAAATTACATATACAAAGAAAAATTGTTCACGAATTTAGTATATTTAAAAAAAAGTCTTTTTGTCCTGATCTTTTCCTCATGTTTATTGATTAATCTCAGATTAAAGGTCAATTTGATCGATTGGATTTTTTTTTCAAGTCTATTGCTATGGAAGAAAAAACTTCATGCAAACATCAAAAGTTAGTTACAAATTCCGGTTGTTAAAAATCAACCAAGTTTTTTTTCTTAATTAATTAAAAAAAAATTTTTTTTTGTTCTGAACTTTTTGTCGTGTTTATCTATTTATCTTCCTCGCTCAACCCTGAAGTTTTGAACTAGTGTTGGTTTCCAAAACTAGAGAGTTTCGCAACCGTGCGAAAGTCAAAAGGTTTCGCCATAAGTCAAAGCTAGTTTTGATTTTTGACTATTGACTTTTGATTTAGTTTTGACATATAACTTTTAATTTTAGTTTTGACAGCCAACACTATTTTGAGATAAATTTTTTGGTTGCCAAATAGATATCAATGGGAGTTCGCATGATAGGCGATGTAAAAATAACCACTACATTTATCATTTCGGAAAACGAAAATATTTTTGTTCAAATCCCAACTAACAAATTAATTTGCACCAAAAAAAGAAAAAAACGACTCATTACAAAGTTTTACCCTTTGATTTGGATCTCATCCCTCTCCAACAATCCAATTTACTAAAGTTGAGCGACAAAGTATGTTTAGAAGATTCGTAATTCGTTATCACCGTAACTGCACTGAATTTACCATTACCGTTTCAAGTTAATATTTCTCATGCAACCAAACAATTCAAATTTGGGAAAATAATTAACACAAATTAAAATATACGACATTTAGAAAGGAACCGTAACACGGCAACCTTTCTTTCTTTTATGTCAAGGAAAGTTATTCTCAAAAAAAATCTCCACACTATTCATTAATATTAAAACACCAAGTCGAATTTGTATTTTATATTTTGTATAATGTCACATGCTAAACTGTTACCATCATTATCACTAGAAAGGTGGGAATTTATAACTAAAATTTATGGTGAAATATATCGTAATGCAGAAGTTAATTCTGATAAAGAAAGTAGAAAAGATTATTTTTTTTCATTAGTTAAAAGCAAGGAGCTTTCTGAAAATGAAAAAGAATTTTGTAAGGAAAAGTTTATTTATGATCATGAATTAAGAAATGCAAGAAATAAATGGGGCGAACCAAAAGAATGTAACAAGTGCAAATTGACAAGATACTCTGATAGATTCTGTGAAGGTTGTATTAGTTCACAGCTACAGAGACTTTTCACCACTTGGACATCTGGAAATAACATAATTGATAATTTTATTCAACAATGTCAAATGATGTCATCTCTGCCAAAACTTATTTTAGAATGGATACCTTTTGAGCAATTCATTTATGTGACAAAGTTGACTGGAGGTGGATTTAGTTCGATTTTTACTGCAGGATGGACAAGAGGAGCTATTAATGATTACAATGAAAATAAAAAGGAGTTTAGTTATTTTGGAAGGCAAAATGTAGTATTAAAAAGTTTAAACAATTCAAGTAATCCAGGAAAAGCCTTTTTTGATGAGGTTGGTAGTTGTCATTTAAACAATACTGTATTATATAATGCTAATTGATTTTATATTCAATAGGCAATGAATTATTCTAAAATTAAATCGGGGCTGATTGTTTCTTGCTATGGTATAACTAAATTTCCAAATAGTGGAAATTATGCAATTGTTCTAGCTTATCTTAGAGAAGGAAGTTTAAGGGATCATTTACAAAAAAATCATTTATATTTAACATTAAAAGATAGAATTAAAATATTTATTAATTTATGTTATGCATTAAATGATATACATCAAAAAGATTTAATCCATTGTGATTTACATAGTGGTAATATACTTGTGCAAGCAGGTTGTTGTTATATTACAGATTTAGGATTATGTGGACCAGTTGTTGAAAAGTTATCAAATAAAGTCTATGGAATTGTACCATATATTGCACCTGAGCTACTTAGAGGAAATAACACTAAGAACACAAAAGAATCAGATATCTATAGTGTTGGGATGTTAATGTGGGAAATATTTGCAGGCCACCCACCATTTGATGATAGAGCTCACAATCATCGTTTGATTTTTGATATATGTGAAGGTTTACGACCACCAATATTACCTGGAATATCTGATGATTATGTGCAAATGATGCAGAGGTGTTGGGATGTGGATCCATCAAAAAGACCAACTAGTAAAGAGCTTTATGATTTCATTGATAATAAACATAATGAAATTTTTAAAAATAATAGTAATAAAAGTAAAAGTTTAACAAATAAGAACTTAAAAAATAATAGTTTAATAAAAAGATTATTCAAATTTTCTAAAATCAAAAAACATGAAATTGATTTTAATGATGATGACAGTATTAGCAGCAGCAGCAGCAGTGATGGTAATGATGCTTCGCAACTATTACACAAATCACATCCAGATGCATATCATACAAGTAGAATATTAGATGAAGAGATTGCTAAATCTAAAAGCTTGAAAAGTTATACAAGTAATGATAGTTCATTAAATAATATTGATTTTAACTCTTTTCTCTAAAATATTAACAAAGGCGAATAAAAATTTCATTATCAATCAATTGGAAATTACTATCCATCAATTATCATTGCTGACAATATTAATTAATTAAACATTATATTCTAGTAAAAGAAAGATGAATTTAATCTCTACTATAAATTTATATCTTTTTTATTTTATTTTTATTTTATTTTTTAAAGCTAAATATTATAATAAACTTTTTACAATTTTTTTGATTCTTGTTGTAAATGGTGATATTGTGAGGTATCATTTCGGTTAATTAACAATTATGGCTTAACTTTTTGGACCATTCTTGTCAGTTAATTGCAAATAATTCAGTGCTTGTTGATTAATTAGTTTACAAAATTTACTTTGGTTCCCTCTTTCTTTCATCTAATCTGTGAACGCACTTGATGGTACCAGATAACTGTAAATAAATAAAGTGGCCTTTTTGCAATGCTATAGAGTTCTTTTTATTCACTTGCGATCGATTTTTACCCTTATTGGCCAATTGCAAATTTGCTTTGGTTTACTTGCAAAACAACACAAGTAGCTTAAATTTACGATTACGATAATACTACTTCATTAACACCCGCTAGCCTCATCTATCTTACCCTTTGTTGATACCAATGTAACCAAAGAATTATAACACCTTCTACATAATAATAATATTAAATGTTTTAGAATAATAATAAAATTTCTTGTATTTCAACAATAATTTGCTTCAAAAGAAAATGTCTATCATTATAAAATAGTTTCAACAAAAATTGAAGTTTCGGCAACAAATTATAGTTTCGGCACAGTGATTGAGTTTCGGCAAACTGAGTTTCGAACTATTAGTTTCTATAACCTTTTTTTTCCCGAGTTTCGACATCATCACAATTTAGTTTAGGCAAGCTTCTATATATTACATGGAGCTTGAATATTTATTACACCCCACATACCAATGCTACAATGAGATCCTTCACTACAATAGTAATACAGTGCACCACTCTCCTGAATTATATTGGTGGATTGACTTTCGAATCGAATACATCTGTTTTTGTTGATCTCGTGCATGATTTTTAGCTGTCTGATTGAACTACGTTGTGTGGAATATTTGGATTAACAAATTTAAATATTACCTGATAAAAAAGAAGATAAAGGAAATAGTTGGTGTGAACAAACAAGCAAATAATATCTATTCATCAATCTGTATACTTACTACATCTCCATTTGAAAATGTGACCTTTTGTGACACAAACTTTAACCCACCTTTACCGAGCGAGAGATTACATTAACAGTAGTGATAATCAATAATACTATAATTAAACCATGTTTAAACATTATCATTTTTTTTAATAAATTTTTTTTGTTGAGAAAGGAATTTTTTTTTTAAAAGGCAAAAATTGAGAATCAAAGTATTATAAGGTTTTTTTTTTTTTTAATATTTGTAATTTAACCAGTAAACATTCTTCGTGATCGGTTTTCTTTTTTGATTTATAAAAAAATATAAATTTGCTTATTTTATACGTATCATATCACCAGAAATCCTTTTCAGAAAAAACTTGATATTAAATCGAATTTACAATAATAAAATAAATGGGCAAATAATAATAATAGTAACACTAACACAATATTATACTAAAATAATAATAAGACAAGTTTTGTTGTGAATGAGTATGGATGGCCTTGTGTAAGTTTGTAGTTGAAGCAAAAATATGCATGCTATCTTTTAATGATAATTTATTTAAATGTGTCTAATTAATTATTTTAATCGAAGGGTGGCAGGCTAGCTTTAAATTAACTGTAGGTTAATTGGGGTGTGATTATGTAGAGCTTTTAAGGCTTCACTTTAGCATAAAAAAAGCAAGATAATAACAATAAGACCATGCATGGTTCTTTTGTGAAATAAATTAAAATTTTTTTATTCATTTACAATATTTATTAAAAAACCTATTAAATTATTATAAAATATATGATAATATAAAATATTTTTTCCATAATTCATAAAATACATAAAAACTTAATTATGAATCAAAATCATTTGTTTTTTTCTATAGTTATAAATAAAATGTAATGAAATATAAAATTTATATGATGTAGTACATGAATATTTTGGGCTCAATCATAACTATAATGAGTGGTAGCATCAATACTGCAATATGGTGTTTTACCCTTTGAATAATTTGATCAACTAATTTTCTTTGTTCTTCTGCCAATTTAGTGTTATTTCTTTCTACTTTGGCCATGGACAAATGTTTTTTAAACCTCTTGCATAATTCTTTAATTTCTTCTTCTTGGCAAGCATTATAATGTAAACTATTTCTAAAATGTTGACAAGTATCACACAAATCAGTCCTGGGACTCATAATTTGAATCTCTGGTGTTAATTGATGTCATAATTTTCTGGATGCATCATTATTTTAAAGATTTCAATTTGTTATCTTCTTCTAGATCAGCTAGAAAATCTCTGTGAACTGATTTATAACTCGTTTCAGCTGGTAAGAATACAATTGATTGGGTTATTCTATTGTTCCTTCCTGGACTTGCTAATCCATGGACTTTGGCATAATTTTCTAGAAAATTCTTCACTACTCCTGCAACATTTTTATCAATCACCATTTTGGTTTTCCATTGAGGCATCCTTTTAATGTTACCATGAATTCTTGGCAGAAGACCATTGTTTATTAGATGATTTCAAAATAAGCCCTACCAATTCCTAACATATTGAAATAGGTTTTTTGCAAAGTAGCATATTATGATCTCAATGATAAAAGGTCCTTTTGTTAGATCTGGTTTTCTTTTTAAGGCATCTACTAACTAGTACTTATTGATCCACCATCCATTGACTTAAGTTGGGCCATTAAAAATATGTCTTGTCCAAACTTGGAAAGAGTTTGAAAGGATTCCCTTAATTCTGCATAATCTTCCTTGGAATTCTTTGAAGAGCAACCACATTTATGACCTTTTTCTAAAAAATCAATTGCTTTTTGAAATTCAGCAGAACCATTGTATTGGTTGTTTCAATTATTACATTCCATAATACACCTATCCCTATTAAGGTTTCTGGTCCTAACTATTTTGAAAAAAAAAGTAGCCTTGACAATAGTTTGGGCTTCTCAATATTTTTTATAAGAATGAACATGAAAAAATTATATAAATCAACCTATTTTTAATTTAAATAATCACCCAATTCAACTATTAATAAAAAATAGTTTGGGCCTATAAAAATTAATTTTTGTACAAAGCATTTTGGCAATTTTGGCTACTAAGAGAAATAAATTCAACCAAAGACCTTAATCCCTATATATATATAATTTTATTTTATTTTTTACAAATAAGTTTATCTATTAAGTTATAAATTGGTTGGATTTAAAAGAAGATCTAGGAAAGGTAATTTGAATACAACTGATTAGAAACAATAATCAAAAACCCATAATGAAAATCATGGCAAAATGACATTATTTATTCTAACACTTTAATTGGAAAAATTTTATTTTTTTATTTTTAATATATGCTGGAATGAAACCAGAACATTATTGGATATCTGTAATGAAGTGATATTTTCATGCATATATTACTCAGATATTCTTTAATTTTACATTGCTAATTTAACAATGTATTGTTAATGAAAATAGTTTTTTGGAATTTAAAAAAGATTCTAATCTTTGAAGATACTCTTTATTGGAATAGATAAAGCCTACTATTCCACTTTTTGGAGTGTTCTAGACATCTTCTCAATATCCTTTTCTTCATTGTCCTTATCTGTTGTTGTAATTCTCTGACACTGAAATCATCGAAAATTTCTTCTGGAACCACAAAATAAAGTTTAATTGTTTCTAATGTGGATGGCATATGCTTCTGCTTAATAGGGTGAGGTGATCTTTTGATAGAGTTATCTGAAATAAACAATCTGGCATCATTATAAAAATCTACAGCCAGGAAATTGGATTTATCTGGTATGATAAAATTGTTCTTCACTTGTTATTTTGAAATATCTTTGGGTTTTCAGATAGGATTGTAGGAAAATGCTATATGATGTGTTATAGCATTTCTTTTACCTAAAATGAATTTTAAGAGTTTACATAAATTGTATTCTCTGCACATTTTGAGAAATTATATTATTAATATAGCCTTACTTTTTTAATTTCAATAATTTTTTTGTTTTGAAAATTAAAATCACTATTCAAAAACAGTCAAATCATATAAGACTCAAAGTGAAGTCACACAGGGATTAATATATGTTTTAAGATGTTGAAACTCAAACTTTCATTTCTATGATACTGGAAGCCCATTGTATGCTGCCTCTTTCATATTCAGGTAATTTTGTTTCATAATGAATTAAACAGTTGGAAATTTTAATAGTCACCATATTTTATTTTTTTTTAGATATAATTATATTTTTTTAATGAAATTTTGAAATTTCATGCAATTTCCATGTTTGTGTTCCACAAAATATTTATTTTTTATTTTTTTTTTTTAAAAAATAATGTGGGAATTATTTGAGCCACATTTTCCATCTATCAAAGATATTGCTGAAGATTTGTCAGATGAAATCAAATATCAAAACTTGAAACATTCAATAAAAGATGCTGGCTCGTTGATTGATAAATTTGCAGCAAAGGCAAAGGTTGATCCACTTGGTCATGATTTTGCAAATTACTTGGATGAACATGATCAATTGAAAAAGCTTAGAGATGAATTTTCTATCCCAAAAGCTGGAAACGTAGCAGTTGGTAATTAATCAATGTCTAATTGATAATATATAATAATTATAATTATAATCAAATTATAATTATGATTGACCATTTAGACGCAATAAGCCCTGATGAAGATTCAGTGTATTTTTGCGGCCATTCACTTGGATTAATGCCAAAGTGTACAAAAGAACTTGTAAACCAAGAGCTTGACGCATGGGCTTCTTCGTAGATATCTTTTTTCTTTTCCTTTTTTATCTTTTTTTGAAAATTTTCATAATGTTGAAAATTATTTAATATATTAGAGGAGTGACTGGTCATTTCCGACATAAATATAATCGACCATGGATTTCAATAGCAGAAACTGTTACAGAAAAAACTGCTGAATTAGTTGGTAAATACATGGTTAAAGATGAGATTATAATCAAAAGGATGTTTGTCATATGATTTGAAAGTATCTATTGAAACTTTTATGATTATTATAGGAGCCAAACCGATTGAGATTGCTATAATGAGCACACTTACATCAAATCTTCATTTACTTATGGCATCATTTTATACTCCCACAAAAACACGTTTTAAAATTATGATTGAAGATAAAACATTTCCATCAGATCAGGTAAACAGTAAAGCTTTTTAATATGTGTGTGTGTACATATATATATCTATATCTATTTATATTATAGTAATATTTTTTTATTCATAAAATATACAAGTATGCAGTGGAATCTCAGATAAGATTTCATGGATATGATCCAGCCACGGCGTTAATTAAAGTATCACCTCCAACTGGTGAATATTTTCCAAGCCTTGATGAAATTTTAAAAACGATTGAACAAGAAGGTGATAGTATTGCTTTAGTAATGTTTGGCGGAGTTCAATATTACACAGGTCAATTTTTTAAAATTAAAAAAATCACACAAGTTGCCCAAAGAAAGGTTAGCATGACGATTTATTATTTGATTGGATTGGATTTGATATAAAACTTTTTATTTTTTTTCCAAGGGATGTATAGTGGGATTTGATCTTGCACATGCTGTTGGAAATGTTGTTCTAAAACTTCATAAATGGAAAGTTGATTTTGCAAGCTGGTCTACATATAAATATATGAATTCAGGTCCAGGTGGAATTAGTTCCATTTTCGTTCACGAGAAACATGCTTATGATTTCGATCGACCTAGGTGTTTATTTATTTATTATCATGAGAATTAATTAATTAATTATTATCAAAAGGAGTAAAAATGAATATTTTTTATAATAGATTTGCAGGATGGTGGGGTACTGATCTGACATCAAGATTTCAAATGGACAAACGTATGGGTTTTTTTATTGTGTAGAGGAAAAAATTATTTTTAAAACAAAATTGAATTTTTAATATATACACATATATACGTATATATATAAATTTAGCATTTGAACCAATTCCTGGTGCTGGCGGATTTCAAGTTTCAAATCCTTCAGTCTTGAACGTAGTTTCATTACTTGGCAGCTTGGAAGTTTTTTCAAAAACGAGCATGGTGCAACTTCGTACCAAATCTATTTTACTCACAGGATATCTAGAATATCTCTTGGATAAACAACTTGATGAACTTGGATGCAAAATAATTACACCACGTGATCCTCATCAGAGAGGTTGTCAATTATCACTTATTTTTGATTCAGAAAAAGTACGTTCTATTCATAAAGAGTTAATGACTTATGGAATAGTGGTTGATATAAGAGAACCAAATTGTCTTAGAGTTGCCCCTGCACCTTTGTATAATACTTTTTCTGAGGTCTGGAAATTTGTAAAAGCTTTAAAAATGGCTGTTAATGATTTAGCAGTTAAGGATGATGGTGAAGTTGTTTCTCTTTAATAATAACGAAATGAATGTTTTAAAATATGTAATAAATTTTTTAGTGCAAGATATATAATGTTATTGAGAGTTATTATTATGTATTGTTTATGGAACATTCTACATTCTAGTATTTTAGCTTAGAACATTGTTGAACTTGATAGGTAGATAGGTGCCTTATATCTTTGTTTCCCTCGAACTTTTGATGATTTCTTTTTGCAACATGATGCTGTTGCTGCATTTTGATAATAACATTGAACTGGAGTGGATTCGACAATGAACTTCTTCATTGGATTAATTTTATATGATAAAATGGCTCTTATGAAAATAAAATGTGTTGTATGTTCGAATATGAACAACAACACGAAAATAATTTTCCCTTCTTCATATAGCTATGGAACCAATGCTTTGCAACTTTTATTTTGCCGTAAATGTTGGTTTATTTTTATTTAGGATTCTTTGGATATAGAATAATTGATTGAACAATCATTTCTTTTTGTTGTGAAGTTGTTTTACAAAGATGTGAGATTTTTAAATGATATGTAAAACATCATTAAAGGTGAAGCTCTTCACATAACTCTTGCATAGTAGAATCATTTTATCACAATTAAATAAGAAAATAGTTGGTAGAAATTTTTGTCACGGCTGATTACTTTGGTTGTTATCATCATCATTCAAATTTTCAAATCAATTTCAAGTTGGCATAGCAAAAAAGAAAAAAACTGATCCCCCAATAATTCATAATATTCGTGATTTGATATTACCGTAACTGCACTGAATTTACCGTTTCTAGTTTCCTTTACAACAGAATATTTCAAATTTGGGTATATAAAAAGAAAAAAGATTACACAAAATATAAAAATCTATGACATTTAGAAAAGAACTGTGACACAGCAATCTTTCTTTAGGAAAGTTATTCTCAAAAAAAAAATCTCTACTCTCTTCATTAAAACACCAAGTCAAATTTATATTTTATATTTTTATATAATGTCATATGTTAACCAATTTTTATCATTATCACCAGAAAGGAGGAAATTTGTATATATAATTCATAGTGAAATGTTTAATAATGCAGCAGTTAATTCTGATAGAGAAAGTAGAAAAGGATTTTTTTTTTCATTGGTCAAAAAAAAACAAGGAGCTTTCTGAAAATGAAAAAGAATATTGTAAGGAAAGGTTTACTTATGACTTTGAATTAGAGAATGCAAGAAATAAATTGGGCAAATCAAAAGAATGTAACAGATGTAAATTGACAAGATACTCTGATAGGTTCTGTGAAGATTGCATTAGTTTACAATTACAAAGTCTTTTCACCACTTGGACATCTGGGAATAACATAATTGATGATTTTATTCAACAATGTCAAATGAAATCATCTCTGCCAGGATATATTTTAGAATGGACACCTTTTGAGCAATTTGAAAAAGTAACAAAGTTGACTGAAGGTGGATTTAGTTCAATTTATACTGCTGCATGGACAAGAGGACGAATAATTGATTATGATGAAAATAAAAAGGAATTTAGTTATTTAGAAAGGCAAGTAGTAGTATTAAAAAGTTTAAATAATTCAAGTAATCCAGGAAAAAGCTTTTTTGATGAGGTTGGTAGTTGTTGTTTATAAAAATAATGTATTATATAATACTAATTGATTTTACATTTATTTTCAAGCAATGAATTATTGTAAAATTAAAGCACCACTGATTGTTGAGTGCTATGGTATAACTAAATTCCCAGATAATGGGAATTATGCAATTGTTTCAAATTATCTATCAGAAGGAAATTTAAGGGGTTATTTACAAAAAAATCATTTAAATTTAACATTAAAAGACAGAATTACAATCCTTAGATATTTATGTTATGCATTAGATGATATACATAAAAAAGATTTAATCCATTGTGATTTACATATTGGTAATATACTTGTGAAAGGAGGTAATTGTTATATTACAGATTTGGGGTTATGTGGACCAGTTGATGAAAAGTCATTAAATAAAGTCTATGGAATTGTATCATATGTTGCACCCGAGCTACTTGGAGGCAAAAAGAACACAAAAGAATCAGATATCTATAGTGTTGGAATGTTAATGTGGGAAATATTTGCAGGTTGTCCACCATTTGATGATAGAGCTCACAATCACTGTTTGATTTTTGATATATGTGAAGGTTTACGACCACCAATATTATCTGAAATGCCTGATGATTATGTGCAAATTATGCAGAGATGTTGGGATGTGGATCCATCAAAAAGACCAACTAGTAGAGAGCTTTATGATTTTGCTGAAAACAAGCTTTGAAGAAATTTTTAAAAATAAACATTTGAAAAATAATAGTAACAATAATAATAATAGTTTAATAAAAAGATTATTCAAATTTTCTAAAGCCAAAACACGTGAAATTGATTTTAATAATGATGGCAACAGCAGCAGCAGTGGTAATAGTGGTAGTAATTCACAACAAACACACAAATCACATCCAGATGCACATCATACAAGCAGAATATTAGATGAAGAGATTGCTAAATCTAAAAGCTTGAAAAGTTATACAAGTAATGATAATTCGTTAAATAATCTTGATT